CACTTCTGCAGACTAAACAGACCCAAATCCCTCAGCCTCTCCTCATAGGTCATGCGCTCCAGCCCCCTAATCATTTTGGTCACCCTCAGCTGGACCCTCTCCAATGAGTCCACATCCTTTCTACAGAGGGGGGCCCAGAACTGGACACTACTCCAGATATGGCCTCACCAGAGCCGAATAAAGGGGAATAATCACTTCTCTAAATCTGCTGGCAATGCTCCTCCTAATGTACCCTATTATGCCATTCACCTTCTTGGCTACAAGGGCACACTGTTGACTCATATCCAGCTTCTCATCCACTGTAATCCCCAGGTCCTTTTCTGCAGAACTGCTACTTATCCATTCAGTCCCCAGCCTGTAACAAAGCTTGGGATTCATTCGTCCCAAGTGCAGGACTTTACACTTGTTCTGTTGAACCTCATCAGATTTCTTTTGGCCCAATCCTCCAATTTGTCTAGGTCACTCTGGACCCTATCCCTGCCCTCCAGCATATCTGTCTCCCCCACCTATCCCTGCCCTCCAGCTTATGTATCTCTCACCCTAACTTAGTGTCATCTGCAAACTTGCTGAGGGTGCAATCCAACCCCTCATCCAGGTCATTAATAAAGATGTTGAACAAAATCGGTCCTAGAACAGATCCCTGGGGCACTCCGCTAGAAACCGACCACCAACCTGACATCGAGCCATTGATTGCTACCCGTTGAGCCCGACAGTTGAGCCAGCTTTCTATCCATCTTCCAGTCCATTTATCCAATCCATATTTCCTTAACTTGCTGGCAAGAATATTGTGGGAGACGGTATCAAAAGCTTTGCTAAAGTCAAGGTAGATCACATCCACTGACTTCCCCATGTCCACCGAGCCAGTTACCTCATCATAGAAGCTAATCAGATTGGTCAGGCACGACTTGCCTTTGGTGAATTCATGTTGACTATTCCTGATCACTTTCCCCTCTTCCCAGTGCTTCCAAATGGATTCCTGGAGGATCCCCTCCATGATTTTTCCAGGGACTGAGATGAGGCAGACCAGTCTGTAGTTCCCTGGATTGTCCTTTTTCCCTTTTCTAAAGATAGGCACTACATTTGCCTTTTCCCAAGGCAATCGCCAAGGACCTCCCCCGATCTCCACAAGTTTTCAGAGATAATGGCCAAAGGCTCCGCAATGACATTTGCCAATTCCCTCAGCACCCTCGGATGCATTAAATCCGGGCCCATGGATTTGTGTTTGTCTGGCTTTTCTAAATAGTTCTTCACCTGTTCTTTCTTCACCGAGGGCTGCCCACCTCCTTCCCATACTGCGCTGCCATGTGCAGTAGTCTGGGAGCAGACCTCTGTAAAGACAGAAGTAAGAAAAGCATTGAGGACTTCAGCTTTTCCCACATCTGTCACTAGGTTACCTCCCTCGTCCAGTAAGGATCCCACACCCTCTTATTGCTAACACTGGAATAAATTGCCCAGGGAGGTTGTGGAATCTCCATCTGTGGAGATATTTAAGAGTAGGTTAGATAAATGTCTATCAGGGATGGTCTAGACAGTATTTGGTCCTGCCATGAGGGCAGGGGACTGGACTCGATGACCTCTCGAGGTCCCTTCCAGTCCTAGTGTTCTATGATTCTAACATGCCTGTAGAAACCTTTCTTGTTCCCCTTCACATCCCTTGCCAGCTGCAATTCCAATTGCGCTTTCACCTTCCTGATAAGTCCCCTGTAACTCAAGCAAAATATTTAAACTCCTCCCTAGTCATCTATCCAAGTTTCTACTTCTTGTCAGCTTCCTTTTTGTGTTTAAGCTCACCAAAGATTTCCCTGCTAAGCCAAGGTGGTCACCTGCCTTAGTTGCTTTTCTTACTGCACATCAGGATGGTTTGTTCCTGGGCCTTCAATAAGGCTTCTGTAAAATCCTGCCAGCTCTCCTGGACTCCTTTCCCCTTCATGTTACATCCCAGGGGATCTGCCCATCGTTTCCCAGAGGGAGTCAGGCTGCTTTTCTGAAGTCCAGGGCGTGTATTGTGCTGCTCTCCTTTCTACCTTCGGTGAGGATCCTGACTCGACCTTTTCATGATCACTGGTGCCCAGGCTGCCACCCACCTCTACTTCCCCTACTAGTTCTTCCCTGTTTGTGAGCAGCAAGTCAAGCTGCGCATGGCCCCTGGTTGCTTCCTTCAGCACTTGTTGTCCCCAACACTCTCCTGGAAGTTTGTGCAACCACAACGAACCAACTTACTTCCTGCAACCCACTGGGATTGGTTCCTTTCTTTTTTAATGAGTCTGCGTTTTTAGCATCACCTGTGAATACATTTCAGATTTCCATTCCCTGCAGTAGGACTATTTCTTGCCAGTGCTCCTGACTTGACAGTCCTTTCAGTTTTCTTTCATCCTTTGGATTTTCATTTGTGCCCCACTATAGTCTCTGAGGGTGGGTGGTTAGTCTTCTCTTAATGAGATCTTTAGCTTCAAGAAAATTGTAGAAACAGCACAACATGATGCAGGTAGTTGGACTTAATATGTTCTTTAAATAGCAAACAGAAGTAGTAAAGTTCTGACTTCTGGGTTCTTACTCCAGCTGCCTTTCCCCATGGAAAAACGTCTGATGACGTGGTAGCATATTAATTTGCAGGAGCCACATCTTGGGAGATGGACTAGATTGGAAGACCCTGGCTGGTGGAAGAGGAGTCTAGAGTATGCATTTCATTCTGTGCATTAGCAAAGGCAACTGCCTTAAACCCCTCTTAGTCTAGGATTCTGTGTACCTGGACGAGTATAGCAAACCGCCGTGCCTTTCAGAGCTAGCTAATTTCACCCCCGCAGTGGATTGGCGCACTGCCCAAAAATGCTACTTGGTTCGAAAATCCTGCTCCGTTTTGAAAATCTGTATTTTGCTCTTCTAGCTTAATAGGGTGTGGGCATGTGCGTGCGCTCAGGAGCCCTCCTTTTCTAGATGCCGAGTCGTCCAACTGCACCAAGACCTGCTGTGAAAACCATCGATGCTGTTGGAGTCAGGCTTGCTTCAGAGCGTGACTTAGCATTGAACATCCCTAGCGGGTGGAAAAGAGGCCAGGCCACAGCAGCGCTTGCTCCCAGTTTTGGGAAAGCAAAACTGAAGAGAATAGCTTCCATCTGTGTAGGAGACGAGATGCGGCAGGTTGGGATGTTAACCACTTAGGGGCTCAAGGAGCCAGAGCAGAGGACGCTAGAGGGCTCATGCTTTTCCGTTGTTTATATTGCCAGAAAATCAGTACGACTCTTCCCTTTTAGTGTAGGGGAGACGTGCAGGCTGGGAAGAAATCACAGTTGAATGAAAGCATCAAGTGCCAACACCCTCCTAAAATGTTTTACTCCAGGGGCAGGCGACCTACCGCTAGAGCATCACCGTGCTTGAGAAGAAAATGTACACCATAATCTTCTGGCTCAAGAACTAGGGACTCGGGAGAAGCGGATTTAGTTCCTAGCATTGACCGAGACTTCCTGGGCATCCCGAGGCGAGCGGCTGAATCTCTCTGCCTCTTCCTCGTTTAGAGAGTGGCCGATGCTTCCTCCGATGCTGGGAAGATGAATTAACGTTGGTCAAGTACTTGGTTACTGTTCAGTAGAGGTCACGTGCAAAGCTTCTTGCGTTTCTTAGTGCTAGTGAGTGTACTGCCAGAATTGCGATAATTACTGCTACCAAGCAAATGCAAAATGGCATCTTCTGCGGAGTTGATACTTACTACTGAGGGAACCACAGACCTGAACTTGGTGCTTAGCTGGCAGCAGTGGTGATTGACACCTGATGCTTGGTGGAGCAGGGCATGGGGACAATGTTTCCCTAGAGTACATCACGGGGGAGCTAGCAGGCCAAAGCTCACAGACCTGAACTTGGTGCTTAGCTGGCAGCAGTGGTGATTGACACCTGATGCTTGGTGGAGCAGGGCAGCGGGATGATGTTTCCCTAGAGTACATCACTGGGGAGCTAGCAGGCCAAAGCTGAGGTGTGACGCATTTTGGAGGTTTTCATGCCACTTCATCCCTGGACTGAGC